CCTTGGAGAAGAAGACAAAGAGCAAGGGGCCCTATATCTGCGCTCTGTGCGCCAAGGAGTTCAAGAACGGCTACAACCTCCGGAGGCACGAGGCCATCCACACGGGAGCCAAGGCCGGCCGGGTCCCTTCGGGTGCTATGAAGATGCCCACCATGGTGCCCCTGAGCCTCCTGAGCGTGCCCCAACTGAGTGGAGCCGGTGGAGGAGGGGGAGAGGCGGGTGCCGGCGGCGGAGCGGCCGCCGTGGCAGCGGGTGGCGTAGTGACCACCACCGCCTCGGGAAAGCGCATCCGGAAGAACCACGCCTGTGAGATGTGCGGCAAGGCCTTCCGCGACGTCTACCATCTGAACCGACACAAGCTGTCGCACTCCGACGAGAAGCCCTACCAGTGCCCTGTGTGCCAACAGCGCTTCAAGCGCAAGGACCGCATGAGCTACCACGTGCGCTCACATGACGGCGCTGTGCACAAGCCCTACAACTGCTCCCACTGTGGCAAGAGCTTCTCCCGGTGTGCACGGGGCCTTGGCCGCTCACTAGGCGGTGGGGAGGGAGGGACTGCAATGGAGGTGGCTTGGCCTTGGCTGGTGGGGAGGGAGGAGGTTCTGAAGATGGGGACTGGGAGCCACTCCCAGGGAGGAGGGAGAAAAGCCTCTCTGGGTTACCAGGGAGCAGGGGGTGGTACTTAGCAAAGGAGGTGGGCCCTTGGATTGGTGGAAAGCTTGGTGTGGACAAGGCAGAGGAGAAATTTCCTGCCTAACCAGGACTCTGAAGCCCCGGGCTTGGGAGAAAATTCAGGGATCTTGGAAAGGCCTCTTGTACTAAGTTAGGTAGATTTGGGGGCATCTCCACCCCCCAGGGCCCTAACGCCACCTCCAACATATCCCCAGGCCGGATCACCTCAACAGTCACGTCAGACAAGTGCACTCAACAGAACGGCCCTTCAAATGTGAGGTAGGAAGCACACCTCTTCCTGTCTTGGTTTTCATGATTTTGATCCTCATTGTAGTTGTCTGAGTTCAGCCTCTCAGACCCCCTTTTTCTCTCTTTTGCTTTTTCACTCCATTTTCTCATCCCTTCAAGGCCTCATCGTCTCACTCCCATTTCCTACAGATCAAAGATCCCCAAGGCTCTGATTCCTTTAACCTCTTACCCCTGCTCTCCACTCCCTGAAGCTTTAATTCTCCTGACACCCCCCACACCCCTCCCCCTTCCCCAGAAATGTGAGGCAGCTTTTGCTACGAAGGATCGACTGCGGGCACACACTGTACGACATGAGGAGAAGGTGCCATGTCATGTATGTGGCAAGATGCTGAGCTCGGCTTATATTTCGGACCACATGAAGGTGCACAGCCAGGGCCCTCATCATGTCTGTGAGCTCTGCAACAAAGGTACATGCTAAGGGATGCTGGGAGGGCCAGGGGTAAAGGGTGGGGACAAAACCAGAGGCCCTTCCACAGATGGGAGTTAAAGGTGCTGTAGCTGAGAGCTTGTGGCATCTAGAGCCCTCTAGGAAGCAAATACAGTGACATTGGGACCACTGAATATCATTAAGTTCTAAGAGGTCAAGGCTGGAAGAGATGATACACCAGAAAGAGTCAACTTCTGGGTGTATGTGGAGAGGATGGGAGTGGGACATGGCTACTTTTGGGAAGGAATGGTCAAGAGAGCCAGTGCCCAAAGGTTGAGAGACGGTTTCAGCTATGCAGCCACAAGTTCTCATCTTCGGCTCTTGGGACAAGTGGAGTACATTGGCAGGGGTTTAACAAGCATGCACCCTGCTTTAGTAGTAGAAAAAGTTGCTTTTAAGTAGATTTGCTTATTCACTGAATAACTGGATTGAGACTGTATGGGACACTTGGAGGGAGGGGACACAGCCGTCTCTACTGAGGGTCAACCCTTCAACTGTCTAGGAATCAGTGGCCTGTCGCCCCAGGAGAGATCCCTTAGCCATGGAGAATGGGTTCTGGGTACCAATGCCAAGGAGCGGACCCTAGTCAACCAGGTCCCAGTTTCAGGGTGGGGCTGTGTCCTACCAGCCCCAGCGGGGTAGTTGGCCCCAGGTTACCAAGGATGTGGTGGGAGGAGGACAGGGCCACCATCTGAGGAAGGCGTCCCCAGCCTAGGAGAATAACCCCGTCTCTGGGGTCTCCACCTGGCTGACCCCATCCCCCCATCCCAACCCCCCCCCCCCATAGGCTTCACCACGGCAGCATACCTGCGCATCCACGCGGTGAAGGACCATGGGCTCCAGGCCCCGCGGGCTGACCGCATCCTGTGCAAGCTGTGCAGCGTGCACTGCAAGACCCCTGCCCAGCTGGCCGGCCACATGCAGACCCATCTGGGGGGGGCCGCACCCCCTGTCCCGGGAGATGCCCCCCAGCCACAGTCCACCTGCTGAGGGGGACCCCTGCACCCACCAGGCAAGGCGTGGGGCATGGCTGGGGGGGGACGGATGGTGTGTGTGGGACAAGGGGGCTCAAGGGGCCCAATAGGGGATCTCAGGAAGGCCAGGGATGTCCATCCTACCACTCATGTTAGGGAGATTTCTGGGGACAGGGAGGGCCCTTCAGGAGAACTGGGTAAGGATACAGGCCAAAGCCTCTGGGATCCAAACAGGAAGTGAGCAACGGCTGTGTCCCAGGGGAGGGAGTCTGGGAAAGAGTCTGGGGCAAGCAGCAAGGCTCTTGCCATTCAGATGGCACTGTGATCTGATATTTCTCACCATGCAGGTACCGGTGAGGTCTGTCCAATGGCGGCAGCAGCGGCGGCAGCGGCGGCAGCAGCGGCAGCAGCAGCGGCGGCGGCGGCTGCATCAGTGACAGCCCCTCCCACAGCTGTGGGCTCCCTCTCTGGGGCTGAGGGGGTGCCTGTGAGCTCTCAGCCACTTCCCTCCCAGCCCTGGTGAACTCCCAAGTTGGTGAGGGGGAGAGGGGAGAATGGAGGAAAGTCCCTTGGTACAATCTCCTTTCCACCCCTCTCTTCCTACCACCTCCTCACTGCTTCCCCCACCACCCAAGGAGCCTCCTGAAGGAAAGGAGGAAGAAATGTTTTCTTAGGGGAATTCACTAGGTTTTAACGATTTGTTTCTCCTGCTCCTCTTCTTCCTATCAGACCTGACCCCACACACCTGTCCCCTTGGTTGTGTTAAGCCCCCTGGACAGTGGGCAGGGGTGGCAGAGGACAGGAGCAGCCACTGCCCTCACCCCCTCTCCTCTCTGTAACCCTCTGCCTTGCCTTTCCAGGGATTTGTGAACCTTCTCCCTTGATGGTCCTTCTTGCTCTCCTTCCAGTCCCCCCCTACTGTCTGCTGCCCCTCCCTGGGGAGTTGGTGCTTTTTTTTTTTTCCAGGGGGAGGGAGGAGAGAAAGGAGGGGAATCAAAGATTCTGTCCTAGAGGGGGAAAGGTAAGATTTGAGAAGGGGTGGAAACAGGGAAGGGAAAGGTTGTACCTTCAGAAGGTGGGGTTGTTTAGGGTCAGGCCCTAAGCATCATCCTACTTGAGAATTTGTCAGGGGAAAACAAGTCAAAGGGAGCAAAAGAAGGAGCCACTTGGGCCAGAGGCAGGGCAAGAGATGGAACTTTATGAGGCCAGGGTAAATGGGGGGATCCAGGGACTAGAGGTGCTGCCTGGGGTTGGGGGGAAGGCAGCTGCAGTGTCTCCCCCTTTCCTCTTCCACCCCAGCTCCAGCCCTGGCCTTTTCATCCCTCTCCCCCAAGATAGAAGCTGTGGCCCTGGCCATGTCATCGTGTTCCTGTGTCCCCTGCATGTTCCCTACCCTTCACTCCCTCTTGCGTGGATCCCATTACAATAAATTTTAAATAAAAACTTGGCTCTGGCTTGAATCAATTACTCTCACCAAGGCCCCTGTTCCCACCCCCAAAGGGTTTCTTCTTGGGCCTGGTGTCAGTCCCGAGCCTTGCTCTGCCTTCTGTAGCTCTGGCTCCTCCCTCCCTGGAGGCAGCACAAGTGGCTGCAGCCCAGATTCAGGGTGAGGCCAAGTCTCCAGACGCTGTGGAGAGCAAGTTCCAGGACCTCCAGGTCTCTGGGGGACACCCAATCTGGACAGGTCCAGAATAGCCAGCCACTGTAGGTTCAAAGAGGCCTGGGTTAGAAGCCCAAATAGTTGATACAACCCACCCAAATACCTGCACACATTTAAGGCCCTGAGAAGTGATGGTGTATGACGTAGCTGCAAAAAAAGGGGAAGCCTGAGCCCCTAGGACAGGGAGCAGTGAGGTTGAGAATAAAAACTGCACTTGTCCATTCTTAGCATCATCCACCCTGTCTTCCCTCGGGCTCCTCTGCCCCAGCCCCTTCTGCTGCTGTTCCAGACTGCCCCTGCAGCCCCTGCCCTGCCCCGTGGAATTCCCAACCCAGCTCTTCCTCTTCTTTCCAGGGACCCTTTTCTTGAGCCTTCCCATACCAATTGCTGCTGCTGCTTCCTTGGCAGAGGGACATCCTGTTATGCAGGCTCCCTTTTCTTGAAACCCCACCCTGCAGCCTCCCCAAGTTTTGCCTCATCTCCCTTCTTTTCGCTCGTAGGGGTGACTCCACCCGGTCCTGCCTGTCTCCCTGGACCTGGTTCTCGCAGACCCCTCTCCGTTTCACCCAACACCCTGCCTCTGCCAGGACCCCGGTGACCGTTGGCGGGAGGGGCCTGGGGCTTGGGAAGGGGATACCCCCAGGAGGTGCGCGTGGGAAGGAGCAGGGAGCTGGCGCGAGTGGTCCCCCAGCGGGTTGCCTGGGTAACGCGGGCCTGGCACGCGTGGCTCCCTTGGGCGGGCCTGGAGGGGGCGGGGGCAGCCGCGTGCGGCAGTAGAGCGTAGGGGAGGGGACCTGAGAGGAGGGGACAAGCAGAGCGGAGGGGAGACCCGCCACCTCCCTCCCTCCCTCCCTCCTGGGCTGCGGCTGCTGCAACGGCGGCAACGGCTGCGGTGGGAGCAGCAGCCGGAGCAGTCTGGAGGCCGGCGTCCAGGTGAGACGGGGGTGCACTAAGGCTGCGGGTAGGAGTGGACGGACAGAAGGCAGACGCCAGGGAGGGCTGCACTGCACGGGAACGCGGGCGCCTGGCCGACTGGATGGTGGTGCTGGGCGCGCCAAGCCAATGGAAGGAGGAGGTGCTGGGGGCACCCCGGGGGCAAGGGAATCCCTGGGAGAGGGTCTGAGGAGGGGCTCAGAGGAGATGCCCAGGATCCCCAGGGAGGAGCGGGGGCGTCTGCACCCCTAAACACGCAGCAAGAAAACCGCACCCACTGGCACCCAGGTAGGAGGAGAGGATGCAGAGTGGAATGTGAGTAAGGGGCTCTGCCCAGTCTGCCTGTCGGAGTGTATGGGTATCTGCACAGCTTGATTTTGAAGTGCTGGGGCATCTGCTAAGATTTGGGAGGCTTGATTTTGTTGGGGGTACCCAGGAGGAGACCATGGCAGGGTCCTGTTTACAAAAGGGTTAATCTTCCAGGGCGCTCCAAGCAAAAGAATTTGAGCAGAGCACTTCTCCCCAGAGATGTCCCACCCCAAGGCAACTTTTCTTCCTCTCCCCAGAGGCAGCCCAAGGCTGGCCCTGAGACAGGAGCATAGCCCTCTTAGGCTGCAGTCCTGAGAGCCGCCTCTTTCCTCCTCACACCGAGCCTGTCTCCTCCTCTTCCAGGATTTGCTGCTGTCTCTGCTGCTCCATCCTCCCCTCAGAGGCCCTCTCCCCTCTCCCATCTCAAGATGGCAGCCAGCAGCTCTGAGGTCTCTGAGATGAAGGGGATAGAGGAGGGTCTCCAGACCCAGGGAGAAGGGCCTGGCCATTCTGAGACCAAAACTGGCCCTCCCCATGTCTCATCTGGGGTCCCAGATGAACCAGAGGCCCTGCAGCCAGGTCCAGACATCACTGGGGCCCCTGTGGACTCAGAGCCCAAAGCTGGGACGGCTCCAGAAATCACGGAGATCCCAACAGGGATCCCAGAAACAGCCCAGGCCAAAGACCTTGGCTCCAGCTCAGGAGGGGAACCAAAGGCCAACTCCAGTCCCAAAAAAGCATGCCAAGAGCCAGCATCCAAGCCAGAAGTGAGCAAAGAGGTCACTGCAGACCAGGGGACCAACCTGGAGTCTGCAGGCCTGATTGAGCCAGCCTCAGAGCCCACTTCCCAGCTGGTCCCCCAGTCAGGTTCCCAGCTCACCCCCAAGCCAGCTCTACAGACAGAGCCTCCTATCCAGGAGGACCCCACCACTGAGGTCTTGACTGAGAGTATGGGGGAAAAGCAAGAGAATGGGGCAGTGGTTCCCCTGCAGGCTGGTGATGGGGAAGAGGGCCCATCCCCCCAGCCTCACTCACCACCCTCAACAAAACCTCCCCCAGCCAATGGGGCTACCCCCCGCATGCTGCAGCAGCTTGTTGAGGAAGACCGATTAGGAAGGGCCCACAGTGGGCATCCAGGATCTCCACGAGGTAGCCTGAGCCGCCACCCCAGCTCCCAGCTAGCGGGGTCTGGGGTAGAGGGGGGTGAAGGCACCCAGAAACCTCGGGACTACATCATCCTCGCCATCCTGTCCTGCTTCTGCCCCATGTGGCCTGTCAACATTGTGGCCTTCGCTTATGCCATCATGGTGAGCCCCATGGGACCCTGGCTTCCTGCACTGGAACAAAGCTGCAGGAGTAGCCTGGCCTTCCCTCTCTGCATGGATCTCACTTCCAAGTCACAGGGTCTTGCTTGCCTCTCCTTAAGACTTCACCCTCTGAGCCACTACTGCCCGTTCCTTCAGGTGGGAGGGATATCCAGACCTGTTTCACACAGCCTTGCTGACCTGTTCCCTCCTCCCTCCTGCCTCTCTCCTTCCTCCTTAACCATGGGCTGGCCTGTCTCCTCTGGATGACCCTTTCATCTGATCCCTGCTGGGCTGGCTTCTCCTGACCTGGGTCATGGCACCCCACCCCTCACCCTAACCTCAGTCCAGGAACAGTCTGCAGCAGGGGGATGTGGATGGGGCCCAGCGTCTGGGTCGAGTGGCCAAGCTCTTAAGCATCGTGGCGCTGGTAGGGGGGGTCCTCATCATCATCGCTTCCTGCGTCATCAACTTAGGCGGTGAGTGAGGGTCTGGGACAGGCTGGGAGGAATGGAAGGGTTGGAAAGGGCAGCTTTACTAACTCCTGCCCCCCTCACTCTCTCCTGTCTGTCCTCTCTACTCCTTTGTTTCTCTTTGTCTCCCCCCCACCCCAACTGTCTCTGTCTGTCCCTCCCGCTCCTCTTCCACAGTGTATAAGTGAGGGGCTCTGTCCTGCATTCCAAGACTTTTCTTCCTGTTGGGAGCTGCCTTGGGCCCATCCTCCCCTGCTCCCCTGAGGGGAACCCAGTCGATGGCCCAGGCCCACACCCATAGGGACCAAGGGAGCCTGAGCAGCCTTGTTTACAGTTTCTTTCCTGCTCCTGCATCTTGCCAGGCTCCTCTGCCAAATGTAGGCCTCCCTTCTCTGCACTGTTTCCAGTCTCCCTGCACTTCTGCCTGCAGCCCGTCCAGCCTCTTGGCCTCCCTATTTCTGCATTTCTGGAAACCTCCCTGAACATCTCCCAAACTCTTTGCTCTCAGCCCCACTTCATCTCTCCCATCCTTCCTGCACTTCTTCCAATCTCCCAAATTCCTGCACCTCCACCCTGATCTCCCCCCTCCACAACTTTAAGTGTCTTTGCATCTTCCCCCATTCCTTTCTTCCTTCTCTCCTTTATCATTTCTCCTTTCCTCCCCACACCCTTCGCCTCCTTCCTTCTCCTGTCTCATCTCCCCTCAGCATCTTCTCCTCCCCTAAGGATCCTCGCCTCCACCCTCCTGCCACCGTTTATTCTGCAAAAACTCCAGCACCTAGATCAGGCTGGGGGAGGGCACGAAGTCAGGAGAGGACTCTGGCCCGGGGCTGTTCTCTGCTGGGACCACCCGGGTCTGAATGCCTAAAGGGCGCCACGGGGTCGCAGAGCTGGCAAGCCGGGGCTCGTTTGGGGACTTGTGCAGGAGTGGTGAGCACTGTTCTAAACACGCACCTGGGAGAAGGGAGGGGGTGCAGCTGTTGACCCTCCACTGCAAGCCTGAATTGACCTGCCGCCCCGCCCCGGGCTTTTTAACCTTGTCGGCGAGTTTCTTAAAGGCATAGGGGGCTGAGGTCACTCACGTGCTTTGTAATGAAAGAGCCCTCCCAAATAGGACCAAAGCCCCCAGCCTCAAGGAGCGAAGAGCTATATACCTAATTATTTTCTAAGAGGAGGAGGGAAGTGTGTTGTATGCCAGTTTGCTAGGGAGGCAGAGACCGAGCTACGACGCGGTTCGGAGTTAGCGGGGATTTTTGTTTCCTTTAAAAAAAAGTGTAGGGGGTGGGCCTAAAAGTCTTTAAAAAAAAAAAAAAAGGATACATCAAACTGATTCTCCCTTTTTGTATGTCGGATGCTGCATGAGCCTGAAACACCAATAAATGGAGACTGCATGAAACTCGCCTCCAGCCTCAGTTGGTCCTCCAGTCGGTTCGCCACCGGGTGCGCAAGTACTGCCTCTTTGGGGGAGAACCTACTAGGTAGTATGCGCCTGCACCGTCCCGACGGCCATCTTTACTGTGGGCCGAAGCCTTTAATGCCCAAGCGCCTACCTGCGCATGTGCAAGCCTTCCCTTACTTTCCACTTCCAAGTAGCTTTTACTAGAGCGGAACCTCCCGCACCATCTCTAATGCGCCTGCGTACTGTGAACTTGCGCAGCCTGCGACGCAGGTCTTAGCTCCAGGTGCCTACGGCGGCTGAGGTAGTGGACCTGCAAGGTGTGGAGAGGGGCGGTGTGAAGGCGAGAAGAGCGGTCTGGCCGAGAGAGTGGTTTCTGCCGTTCCCTGGGAACATCTGAGTACTGTATCTCAATCCGTGGGGCGGGGTCCTCGGAGGAAACTGAGCGCCCCCTCCTGGTAACGGGAGGTCTGGTCGCAGAGACCGCTGTTGGAGCCTGATTGGTTGGAGAGACATCTTTGGGGACACCCCTGGGGAGCCCAGTTCCTGGGGGTCAGGGGAATCCCCAGTTTAGTAATCCTGCCTCCCCTATAGTCGCAGGGTTCCTTCCCTAGTGGTTTATGTCCCTTGTCCGGGGTCATGGAGATACTGCGGCCACCACGGCAGCGCCTGAAGAAGGGGAAGTGACCTCCGGCCTCCAAGCTCTGGCCGTGGGAGATACCGGAGTCCCCTCGGCTTCGGCCAATAAAGCCGAGGAAGAGGGGGAAGGAGTCCGGGAGGAGGCCGAGCGTGAGGGGTCTGGGATCGAGGAGGCGCAGGGAGAAGCCCGCAGCGCTGAGGGGGAAGAGCATGCCAAGGGAGAATCCGAGGACTGGTGCGTGCCCTGCAGCGATGAGGAGGTGGAGCTGCCCGCAGATGGGCAGTCCTGGATGCCCTCCCCTTCAGAAATCCAACGGCTTTATGAACTGCTGGCTGCCCACGGTACCCTGGAGCTTCAGGCTGAGATCCTGCCTCGCCGGCCACCCACGCCTGAGGCCCAGAGTGAAGAGGAGAGATCCGATGAGGAGCCAGAGGCCAAAGAGGAGGAAGAGGAAAAGTGAGAGCACACCCTGACATCTTGTTCCTGGGACTGCTCCCCTGAAGCCAGGAGGAAGCAGGGAGGGGAGGTGGGGCACAGGAGAATGGAAAATGGAGGGTGGGAAGAGAGCAGGAAAGGAAGAGCCGGCAGGCTGGGTGAAGCACTTTTGTGGGTATTTGAGGAAACCACCCTCACCCTTCATTCTCTGTCCACCTGTCCAGACCGCGCATGCCCACAGAATTTGACTTTGATGATGAGCCAATGACACCAAAGGACTCCCTGATTGATCGGAGACGCACCCCAGGTACCGACAAGAGGGAAGATTTGGGTGGAGGTGAAGGGCCTTTGGTGCTTTGTTGCTTCAGGAGAGCATTTACACAATGGGGCAATTCTTTCAGCTTAAATGGATAGCCCTGTATTCCTTTAAGAGAATATGACAGATAATTCTATCATGGATCCCATTTCTTTTATCGTCATCTCCCAAGAAGTCCAAGTCTTCCTGATCATTCATTATTATCTAGATCCACATCCTTATACTGCTGTGTACATCTCCTAATCTGACCCAATTTCTACTCTCTATGCCTTCCCAGAATTTACCCTTAGATCCATTCTTGATTTCTCTTTGGTTTGTCATTGTAGGGGAGAGGGGAAAGAGCATGTTGAGAGAGAATCCTACACCCCTCCATCAGGCTTCCGAAGGCTTTTCCATTTAAAATAAGAGACCCAAAGCCCTTATCATGGCCTCCATCTCATTTTCTTGGTTTCATCTTTCACGTCATCCCAGCATTCTACACTCTTTGAACAGACCTCCCTGTTCCTCCCCTGGGGCCTTTGCACTTGCTCTTCCTCTGCCTAGGATGGTCTTCATTGGTAATTCCCCAGGTAACAACTAATATCCATGCAGGTGTACACTGCCTCACCCCCTTCCACATTTCTCACCTTCCGCTTCTCCAGGAAGCTCAGCCCGGAGCCAGAAACGGGAAGCCCGCCTGGACAAAGTCCTCTCAGACATGAAGCGACACAAGAAGCTGGAGGAACAGATCCTTCGTACCGGCAGGGACCTGTTCAGCCTGGATTCAGAGGACCCTAGCCCCACCAGCCCCCCACTCCGGTCCTCAGGGAGTAGTCTCTTCCCCCGGCAGCGAAAATACTGACTGGTGCTGCTGGGGCCTTTCCTAACTCTGGGTGCTGGGAAACTTGGGAAGAGGAGAGAAACTCCAAGCTCCTAACACAGCACCTTGCCAGAAAGCGGGCGTGTGTGTATGATTTGTTGAACATTTATTTGAAAACTTGGGCTGAAATTTCTGAATCTAAAATAAAAAATACAAAGTTATCTTCTCTTACAGGAGGGGCTTCAGCTGGAGTCCAAACAGCTGTGGCGGGGCAGAATCGTCCTCATCCAGCTAGGGAAGTTAGAGACACGGAGCAGAGGTGAACTCAATCAAGTGCCTGCCTTAGGTTCTCTGACTCTTCCCAGTCTCTTTCCAATGGGGCCAGCTGGCTCTGAGTGTTAAGTGAGCTGCAGTACCTTCAGCTGCAGTGAAAGCAGCCCAGAGGAGAAAAGGAGAACCAGCTGCAAGGGCCCTTTAAATGCTCAAGCCCCACCCCCGAGCCTGCCCTGCCCTGCCCTGCCCGGCCGGGAAGTGATCCCTTGGGCTGGGTCCCTGAGTTTTTCCCCAATCCAAGGACTCTGTTGCAGTCAGCCATACTTCTGGATGTGAGTACTTTGTACCGGGCCCAAAACCTCAAATCAGTGGTGGAGCCTTGTGTCCCTCAAGGCTCTCTCTAGCCCTGTCCTGCCTTCTAGGGCCTTCCTTCAGCTGGGGCAGGTAAGACCTTTCTGAAGCAGCGGGGGGAAGGTAGGTGGAGGGTTGGCCTTTAAGGTCTTGCTTTCTTTGTTGGAGTTTTTTCTGTCTTTTGAAGTAAAGATCAGTTTGTCACCTCGCCAACACCCCTCACCTCCAAAATCTCAGACCTCTCTGACATCAAGTCCCCATGTCAGAAGTATGGAAAAGGGAAGCTTAAGGGGTCTGTTCACACTCCCTTGGGAATTAGATTGGGTCCTGCTGTCCTCATTTTCCCTCTCTGGCTGGAGCCCTGGGCTCTGGCCTGTCCTCTTGAGCCCTTAGAACGTGATTTGTCCCCATTGAGATCCCTCAACTTTGCCAAATACTGAGGTTTTCATACTGACCCACTCAGGACTAAGCCAGCTGTGGGCCTTGCGGATCATTTAAGAAGCCATTAGCAGAACAATCTTAAGGCAGGCTTAATTTCCAGAAGTTGCGGAGTTTGGTGAGCCTTTTTAAAATTTTTTTTTCCATCTCTGTGAGCAGAAAGTAGAAAATAGGTTGCTCAGCCCTGGCCAGTGTGGCTCGGTTGATTGGAGCATCATCCTGTAAACTCCCCAGTCAGGGCACATACCTAGGTTGTGGGTTCAGGGGCATGTACAAGGGGCAACCCATTCATGTTTCTCTCCCTCCCTTCCCCTCTCTAAAATTTATAAGCGTGTACTCGGGTGAGAATTAAAAACATGTTTTTAAAAAACCAGGAAGCTCACTTGAACCCACCAACTTGTAATTCTGGGCATCTTAGATCTCAGGAGTGAAGCCTAGAAAGGTGGGAGATGGTAGTTGAGACAGAAGTCCCCTGTATTCTGCTCTCTGCCTGGCTGGACCTTTCGGTTATAGGGGAAAGGCCGGCTTTCAGGAGGCATGATAACTGATTCCCTAGAAACTCCTGACTTCTGCCCTCAGCACACGGGGCACCCAGCCTGCCCAGGGTTGGTGCTTTCTGGCATGGCAACTCAAAAGCCATGAGTAGGGAAGACAGCCACCTGAGGATTCCCTGGTAACTAAGGCCTCCTTGTGGGTACTGCCCTCTCAAGTTGCAGAAAATGCTCACCGTTGAATTGCCATTGGCACCGTTTCCTGGAGAGCACCAGCCCCACCCAGGTCTTTGTTCTAGGTTTAGAATCTTACTGACATTTGCCTGAGAAGCCAAGCTGCTCCTGGCTGGGGGGCTCTGCAGTCCGGGTACCTGGGGTAGAATTCTGGCTTCAACCTTTGATTATTTTGTGATCCTGAGCAAGTTCCTTAACTTCTAGGTTCTTGTGAGGGTTAAATGAATGAATTAAAGGTGTTTAACTCTATGCCTGACAGATTTAAGTTTTTAATAAGTGGGAGCTATTATCCAGGTGCACTTGCCAATGATACAAGTTCCAGTGTCCTGGAAACCTTGGCCCATTGTGAGACTGGGAGCACTCCCAGCTGAGTCCTATGACTAGATGAGTTTAGAAAACAGTGATCTGGGTCAGGGGTTCTGAAGCTCGGTTCCTGGGTTACCTCTAATCGAGGCAATCCTTGCCTTCAATTGATGTTAATCGGCAGCAATGCGGGAGGTCGGATGGAAGTGGGAAAAGAGGCATCCCGAGCTGGCAGAGCTCTTCCTCCCACAAAGTGGCCCAGTTGGGCTGAAGCTCAGATAAGATTTTCCTAGGGAAAAAAGTTCCTAAAATTTTGCTGCTAAACAATTTATGTGAGACAAATCCTAAAAGATTTCCACTATAGTCTGTCCCCTAAAGCAGGAAATAAGTTCCCTAAAGCAGGAAGCTGTCTGGTGAAAACAGCCTCTGCAGTACCTGAGTAAAGTCACGCTTGTGTTCTCCGAACAAAAACTAAAATGTGTAAAATGAATGAAGGGGAACTGGGAAGACGAGCACTTGTTTGTGCTGTGCTTCCTGTGCATTTTTCTAAACCTAAGCTTGATAGAGGGGGTGGTGGCAAGGCTGAGTCACTGACCTCACCTCCAACAGCAGGCGTGCCTGGGCCAGGAGTCTGGGACTTGGGCCAAGGGGGCTTTTGTCAGCTAGGGGGCTACTTGGCCCTGACGGTGAAGGGGCTGGGGGAGAATAAATGAAAGTCCCTGTCCTTGAGCAGCAGTCTGTAATCTGAGCTCATCTTTGTTCTTCCTCCTCCTGGACATCCTCTAGTCTCTAAACCCTCTAAAATTCACTAATTCGCAGTAACTAAACCTAGGAAATAGTCACTTTTATTCCCACTCCGAAGTCTAGGAAAGTAAGTCTCAGAGGCTAGCAAGTGGCTCAAGATCATACTGATAATGGCAGGATTAAAATTCTTGCTGTACAAGTCAGAGAGCTTTTAAATATAGCAACACTTGGACTTCACCTCAGACCAATTAAATCAGAATCCCCAGAGACAGGTGGTTGCAAAAGATCTCCAGGTGATTCTAATGTAGTCAGGGCTGAGCGTGGCTGCTGTAGACCAGAGCTGCTCATACTTAAACGTGAGCCCGAATCATGGGCGTTTAGTTAAGATGCCAACTGATTGAGGAACTCTCAGGTGGGACCCAAGATTCTGCGCTGTAACAAGCGTCCAGGTGAGGCTGCTGCTGCTCACTGCAGACCAATACAGTGTAGCTGGTCACTTGGGCATCAGTTAACATTCACTGTCGGCCACTCGCAACACCCTGAAGATCTCTGATATGTACTGACTTGTCACTCAATTAAACCTTGCTGAAGCATAAGTTTATTTTTGAGCCAAGACACAGGTGAAGAGCTGTCTCTTAACCAGAGGTTGAACCCAGCTTCTCCCTACAGACAGTTTTATTGTTCTCTGCTCATCCACCCATGACCCCTGCCCTCTTGATGTGTGAGGGGGGAGGTGTGATGCAGCCAGGAAGTAGCTGGTTTCGGAGACTCTGGGTGAAAGCTGACTGGTTCTTACAGGAGCCTCATGACGCTTGAGGGGCATGTGATCATGCAAAGCAGGACATGTATGCAGAGAGCAGACTAGGACAGATCTCAGAAGTATGCACTGAAGGGAGAGCTATCAGTGGAATTGGGGTGTTGGGGTCACACCCAAGTCAGGGAAGGACCTTCCAACTGTCAACAGACTCCTTAACCATTGTCTTTCGAGGGCCCTGATGTATCAGGAGTAGAATACTCTATACGTGTCATCTGGTAAACCACAAAAGTCTAAATTTGAGATGTCACAAACATGCTGCCTGAGTCAAACGGCTCCCCTGCACCTCCCGAGAGGCCCTATATTGAAACTCACTTCTGTGGATGGTGAGTGAAAAGGCAAAGTCTGTTCTTTGGTGAACTTGGCAGATGGTCTAGCTGGAAGGAACAGCTTTAGAGCATGGTAGATGGGTGGTCAGGGAGGTAAGACAAAATCCTGGTACTGAAACGGTTATTGGCATGGGCTTGGCCTCCGAATAAGGCAAAAGTCCAGTTTGATCAGTTGAAAGGATGACTCGCAGCTGAGTCACTGAGCTGGGCCAGGCTCTCAGCCCCGCTGACTGAGTCCAGCTGGGGTGACAGATGGTGAGAGGCCTCAGCCATAGGGGGTGCGAGGAATCATCCAACAAGGAGCCACTGGAGGCTTTTTCCAGAGCCTGCTTCCCAGCCTTGCATAACCTGGAGTTCAAATCTTCCCTGTGGGGCCTCATGGAACCCTGTCCATACCTCCGCCTACAGCCCTAGCTCTTCCTCTCCCTCCATCTGGCTTCCTGGCCAGGCTTCCACCCTGCAGGGAACCTGGCAAAGGAGCAGCTGGGAAAGGCTTCACTTGACTGCCGGATGCCCTTTTCTTTTCTGTTCTTCTAGCCCCACAGCTGGGGTGGCCAAAGACTTCTCACATCCCTGACCAGCTAACAGTGAGGGCTGAGGCTGAGATGCCAGCTGAGGCAGAGAGCCTCTGGTGCTTGCACATGCCCTAAATGGATAAGGAAGCGGCCTCAGGCCACCCTCCCTCAGCAGTAAGTGCTTCTGAAGAGCCAGGCTCTATTCCACGTGCATTATGATGAACTCAGCCCTCATACCTTGAGTAAATGCCCTATCCATTCCCAGTTTATTGACCAGGAAACAGGTATAGGGAAGGCAAGGGACTTGTCTAAGATCACCTGTCCAGTAAAAGTTAGAATCAAGATCAGTTCCAGGCACATGGGGCCCCACATCAGGGAGCAATTTCAGGGATTGGAAGCACAGCTGAGCAGAATGGGGCGGTAGAGAGGAAAGAAAGAGAAGATCCAGATGAGAGGAGTGGAACAGAACCCCAGAAGCAGAACAGCAGCCCTAGTATTTTCAAACACTGCCTGAAATTAGCAGAAGAGGGAGCTATGGCTTTAGAAAAGCCACTCCTACAAATTAAGGGGAATTCTCATAAAAAAAAAAAAAAAAAAAAAAAAGCAACGGAAAAGTATCAAGATCAAATCCCATACAAAGTTGCAAGAAAAAAGAACCAGGAGCAGAATAACAACCCTCTGATGTGAAAAGTGTATCAGGAAAACTGATCAAAACTGTAACCTCTTTTAAAATGAGGTAAGGCATTAAGGAAACAATACAAGGCAGGAAAGCCACAGACCAGAATTGTAAGGAAGACCAGCCTGTCTTGACTCTGCACCTCTAACCATTGTACTGTGTTGCTGCTGGGCGGGGAGGAGGGGCACTCCCTTGAGATTGAGAATCTCATCTGGATAGTTCCACTAACTTGCTGTGTGACCTTGAAAGACCCA